AAGTTTACATACACCTTAGCCAAATACATTTAAACTCAGTTTTTCACAATTCCTGACATTTAATCCTAGTAAAAACTCCCTGTTTTAGGTCAGTTAGGATCACCACTTTATTTTAAGAATGTGAAATGTCAGAATAATAGTAGAGAGAATGATTTATTTCAGTTTTTATTACTTTTATCACATTCCCAGTGGGTCAGAAGTTTACATACACTCAATTAGTATTTGGTAGCATTGCCTTTAAATTGTTTAACTTGGGTCAAACGTTTCGGGTAGCCTTCCACAAGCGTCCCTCAATAAGTTGGGTGAATTTTGGCCCATTCCTCCTGACAGAGCTGGTGTAACTGAGTCAGGTTTGTAGCCCTCCTTGCTCGCACATGCTTTTTCAGTTCTGCCCACACATGTTCTATAGGATTGAGATCAGGGCTTTGTGATGGCCACTACAATACCTTGACTTTGTTGATCTTTGTCCCCATGTGCAGTTGCAAACCGTAGTCTGGCTTTTTTATGGTGGTTTTGGAGCAGTGGCTTCTTCCTTGCTGAGCGGCCTTTCAGGTTATGTCGATATAGGACTCGTTTTACTGTGAATATAGATACTTTTGTACCTGTTTCCTCCAGCATCTTCACAAGGTCCTTTGCTGTTGTTCTGGGATTGATTTGCACTTTTCGCACCAAAGTATGTTCATCTCTAGGAGACAGAACGCGTCTCCTTCCTGAGCTGTATGACAGCTCTGTGGTCCCATGGTGTGTATAATTGCGTACTATTGTTTGTACAGATGAATGTGGTACCTTCAGGCGTTTGGAAATTGCTCCCAAGGATGAACCAGACTTGCGGAGGTCTACAATTTGATTTCTGAGGTCTTGGCTGATTTCTTTTGATTTTCCTATGATGTCAAGCAAAGAGGCACTGAGTTTGAAGGTAGCCCTTGAAATACATCCACAGGTACACCTCCAATTGACTCAAAGGATGTCAATTAGCCTATCAGAAGCTCCTAAAGCCATGACATCATTTTCTGGAAATTTCCAAGCTGTTTCAAAGCACGGTCAACTTAGTGTATGTAAACTTCTGACCCACTGGAATTGTGAGACAGTGAATTATAAGTGAAATAATCTGTCTTTAAACAATTGTTGGAAAAATTACTTGTGTCATGCACAAAGTAGATGTCCTAACCGACTTGCCAAAACTATAGTTTGTTAACAAGACATTTGTGGAGTGGTTAAAAAACGAGTTTTAATGACTCCAACCTAAGTGTATGTAAACTTCCGACTTCAACTGTAGATACTGTAGCTCTCTATCCATGATATGGCAGATGATGTAAAGCCATAACATATTAATTTTTTCAAAAACAAATGATTGTCAATAATATCAAAGGCTGCACTGAAATCTGACAGTACAGCTCCCACAATCTTCTTATTATCAATTTCTTTCAGCCAATCATCAGTCATTTGTGTTAGTGCAGTACGTGCTGAAAGTCAGTTCACATCTATGTAAATTCACCTTTTAATGAGATTAACTTATTCTCATGTTTTTTTTAAATGCAACCCTGTTAATTATTAACACTACATGGTCCCTGTTGTCATTATTTACCTGATCCTACCCAATCTAATTGGTTTTGATTACAGTGTTGGATTTATTATACTACTTGCACTGCCATAATACAGTTACCATGAGGTGCAACATTACATTTACATTTTAGTCATTTAGCAGACGCTCTTATCCAGAGCGACTTACAGTTAGGAGATTAATTATAAAGGTGTTATCCATTTGCTGACTGTTCATAACGTAGACTGAGGTGAACCTTTTCTCCACAGGGTATTTATAAGGCCTTCAGTATCTGTCAAAACATAATTTCCTCGAAATCACAAGACAATGTGTAAATGAAACTTAAGACATTTGAGATGGCACACCCTTCATTTCACCCTTAGCATGCAGTGCAATCTCAGATATTATTCCAGATATTAGTGAGAAAAGCTTTATTCCTTTAACACTTTTCTCAGGAAAGGATAACTTATGAAACTGGCTTTGTGTTAGGCCTAACTGATAAAAAAAAACTATGACCATTGAACTCATAAAAAACAGATTATTTTGTCACTGAAGATATGTCAATTTAGGTCAGGTGGATAGAAACAAAACCAAACCAAACTAAATGTATTGTCCCTTTAGTATTCACATAATGTTATAAATTGTTTTGCAGACAGTCATGTTTTATTTCCCTTTTCAATCCTTTTCACAGAAGTAGTGTGCCATTAGGCTGGAAATCCTACCTTTGTATTCTAAAAGAAAACTGAGGTGAACCTTTTCTCCACAGGATATTTATAAGGCCTTCAGTATCTGTCAAAACATAATTTCCTCGAAATCACATGACAATATGTAAATTAAACTTAAGACATTTGAGATGGCAATAAAGTTCCATTAGCCATGAGTACAGTGTAACTGATCCTGTTTATATCAAGGGAAACATTAAATAAGACATCCATACAATTATATATTTTACGTGAATGTAAATTAAAAATTACGTGCAAAGTTCCTTTGTTGGAGTGGTAGGGAAACAAAACAAATTAATTGTGTAATGCAGTATACATTTGACCTCATTTCAAAGTTATATAGACCTTTGGGAATGCATACCCCCACCCTGCCACATGATGAAGCCAGAGCTTGTTCTCAATGACTCACCTTTATAAAGCAAGTTTACAAGGATAATGAGTTTTGTTTGCTCTGAGCAACTGCATAACATTGTGTGTGTGTGTGTGGCTGTGGTGGGTAGATGTAAAAGTGCATTTGTGTTTATACATGTGCTTGCCTGTGAATGTTTTTGCGGAATGTCATCTTACTTGCACCAAGATAACCTCAGGTGTAGGTGTGGAGGAAGTAGTGAACAGAGAGAGAGGAAGAGATTCAGTGTCTCTGCTCTGAAATAAAATCAGCTCTCCCTTTAGCCTTTTTGCCCAGACCTATATAACAGGTGCCATGGAGTCCTCATTCTTAGTCATTGTGATCTCAGAAAGTGGAATTTTAGTGTTTAGCTTCTACATCTGAATGAAGGAAGAAGATAGTATTGCCTTCTTTGCATGTCTAACATAGTTTTTAGTAACAAATTATGATTTTAATCTAGGAAATCTGTTCCCAAGTATTCCCACGAATAAATAGAGAGACACGTGATAGTGTCTCAATGTATGGTATGATGAAATGATAATGTTATTTCCAAATACAATATCTGTCTGGTCTTACTTGTGTTCAATTTGCAGTGTAGAAATTATTATCATTATGTTCCGGCCCCCCATTCACTCAGAAATAAATCGTCCCACGGCTGAATCTAGTTGTCCCTGGTCTATAGTGAATATCCATTCCTGGTTGAAAATCACTGTTGCTTGTTTCTGTATATTTTCTTTATCCACTCAATGTGTCAAAAAGGACAGAACCATGCTTATTAAAAAACAGTATTTATTGTTAATAATATGATTGCTATGACAGCTACTGGTAAATAGATCACATTATACAATCGTATTTTACTCCGTATACATACTGAATTCGTATGTGACATCACATACAAGTATGTACTGGTCATTTTAAGTAGAGTGCCATACATCTTATGAACATATCTAATATTCAACTTAATTTGATTACCTTCATGTATGACAATGCATTTGTTTCCTTGTTATTTTTTAAAATGTATACTCACATGTATGAACATGACACTAAGAACAAACATACTTGGAAAAAGTACTTGACAATAACTATCACTGAAAGGCAGCTATAGGTTTAAACGATTATAGGGCTGTGTATCCCAAATGAGGGTTATACATTTTACAGGGCACACCCTTCATTTCACCCTTAGCATGCAGTGCAATCTCAGATATTATTCCAGATATTAGTGAGAAAAGCTTTATTCCTTTAACACTTTTCTCAGGAAAGGATAACTTATGAAACTGGCTTTGTGTTAGGCCTAACTGATAATAAAAACTGTGACCTTTGAACTCATAAAAAACACAGATTATTTTGTCACTGAAGATATGTCAATTTAGGTCAGGTGGATAGAAACAAAACCAAACCAAACTAAATGTATTGTCCCTTTAGTATTCACATAATGTTATAAATTGTTTTGCAGACAGTCATGTTTTATTTCCCTTTTCAATCCTTTTCACAGAAGTAGTGTGCCATTAGGCCTGAAATCCTACCTTTTGTCCAGGTTCTGTCATAGCCGGCCGCGACCGGGAGACCCATGAGGCGGCGCACAATTGGCCCAGCGTCGTCCAGGGTAGGGGAGGGAATGGCCGACAGGGATGTAGCTCAGTTGGTAGAGCATGGTGTTTGCCATGCCAGGGTTGTGGGTTCGATTCCCACGGGGGGCCAGTATGAAAAAATAAAAACTAATGGATGCACTCAGTAACTGTAAGTCACTCTGGATAAGAGCGTCTGCTAAATGACTAAAATGTAAATGTAAATGTCTTCTAAAAATAAAACATATTATGTTCCTTACATCCATGTAGCATGTCTGTGAATGACCACTGTGAGTGGTTTTGACAGACACAGCCTTGGCTCATGATCACTGTGTCCTTCCATCTGGTCGTGGTACGGCTTGTGACTGTTGCACTGCAGCTGCTATAGCACAGAGTTGCGTGATTTCAAGAGATTGTTTAATTCCAGAATTTAATAACAGTTTCATGGAATCTGCTTAGTTTAAGGTATATTTCTTATGAAGATATAACGAAACCTGTCATGTTTTTAAGGTTGTTTTTTATATATACCCTGTCCAATGTTGCTGTCAGCTCATGTCTGATAAACTCTACACAAGCTTCTCTAAAACTGAACAAGAGTATTGATCCAGTTGTTAGATGGTAGACAAGAAAGCTCTTATCATTATGAGGAGGAGCTTTCCAATTCAAATCATTAATGTAAAAGGTTTATAGAAAAACATGGATCCCTCTGAAGGTCTTGAGTGCAAGGATTCAGAACCAAGGTCACCCACTCTTCTCCTCACAATGATAGACATATGGTAAATGTTTCAGACTTTGATCTCCTCTTCCTCAGGGAAGGCGTAAGGGGCTTTAGACTGGCTGCGGGGTGAGGAGGAGGAGGAGGCAGAATTGCTGCGATGACTCCTGGAGAAGGAGCCTCCCCCGTAGTGACGCGCCAGCACGTCAGCTGCCCTCTGGAACCTCTCAGCTTCCATCGCTGGTTCTACCTGTGTAGGAGACCTCATAGATGCGTCTGGCATCTTAAGAGACCTCTCATCCTCCTCCTCTCCCTCTGCCCACTCTGAGCTGCAAGAGCGCCCCCTGTTGTTCACATTCACTTTGAGCGGCGTGCTTGACATTGAAGGGTTTGATGAGCTTAACATGGGGCTCTGCACAGCCAGCTCAAACACAGAGCTCTGCTCCTCCTCTTCCTCCTCTTCCCCCAACTCCCAGCTGTGATTTGGCATTGTGAGGCAACTGGGGCTGTCAATCATGCCCAGAACCTCGCTCATGAGGGAGGGGCCAAGGTCCACTGTGAACGAGGTGAAGGAGTCGGAGCGTGTCAGCGCGAAGCCGTCGTTGTCTGGGAACGAGCCGCAGCGAAAGTCCTGAGCGAAGAGTCCGGTGCCGTCCTGCAGCTGTTTATCAAGGCGGGAGTGGCGGGGCAGTGTGACGAAACCAGACTGCAGACCTGCAGACAGGAAGGAGACAAACATATTACAACTTTTTTTTAAATGGAGAACAGTTCATGCCTTGAAAAAGGCCATTGTCTATTCTATTAATGCATCTACAATATAATATCCAATTACTTTCATTAGACTGAGAAAACTACTTTCATAGAAGTGCATTGAAAATAATGTCAGTGAGCCTTGCAGTTTGCCTCATTGGCCAGAGGGTGACAGTATAAAACAAGCAAGATGTTTAGTCATTTCAGAGCACCAGCCCAACCCACACACATTCCACGGTGCATGACTTCCCTGGCTCTGAATGCTCCCTGGAGGAGGGGGGGGGGGGGTGCAACTTATTTTAGAAAAGCAAACCAGCATTGCCTCTATCAACGAAACTTTTCTAAGTACTAATACAAGATTCCGCATTCCTAGCTTTAACATCTTAAGAAAGGATCAATCAAAGGGATGCAGAGGGGGTGTGGCACTGCAGGGTGGGGGGGGGGGCTTGTTATTTATGCCTATGGACAGTTCTCAGCCGCTACTGAAAGAGAAGTCAGAGAAGGAGGACCCAGAAATAGATATATTAGAGGATAACAGAGTGGGAAAGAGAAAGGAACTTCAAGTTTAAAAAAGTGATGAAGTGGAGAGTAGAAAAGGAATGAGAGGAAAATGGGACAGGAGAGGAAAGAAAGAAGAGCTAAAGAAATGACCAGAATATACAAATGAACATGTGTACATCACAGTAAGGGGTGGTACAGTGTGAGTTAACCTGTTGATCTCCTAGGTCTTCTAACTCTCTGTGCCCTCTGTTGGTGCTCTTTATTTGGGTAAATTCCATCTGAGTTGGGTAACTATTCCCGTAGCTGGGGGGAATTCCAGACATCCCACATACTGTTCTAAAAAACCCTACTCATGAACACACACACAGTTTCGCTGTACCAGCAGTGATTTAAGAGGGAGATGATGAGTGTTGGGTTTATGCGGTGCAGTCAAGCAGCACGCAAACACAAAAGATGACAGGAAATGCCCTCTTGGTATCTTTCTCTCCTCAGCTGTGTTTGTTTGTGTTTATAGGCGTAATTGTGCGCAGGTGTTACCAAGGAGATTCCAGATGACTCTGAAAAAAATAGTTTGTTTGTTGACTGTTTGGAGGGTTGAGAAGAGGAAATGTCAACCTGTGTGTGTGTGTGCAATATGTGCTTTTTCCCATTCCAGATGTAGCAGTGTTCTTACCGTAGCTGTAGAGGGAGGTATCTGGGGAGCTCACTGAGCTGGGGAACAGCACCCTCTGGTAGCCGTTGGGCATGTCAATGTTCAGCTGGGGCAGTGAAATGGCGTTCTTGATGATGGGCGAGACAGGAGGCGGTGGGGGTGAAAGGTCACGGGAACCAATCCTGGCGCGGGGCACAGGGGACCTGCGTACATGCCTCAGGGTGCGGGAGAAGAAGCGGGTGGTCTTCGAGCTGCTGGTGGGTGAATCGGGGCTCACTGGTTCCCCTTTGCCCCCGTGGTTGCTAAGGAAGGAGGTGTCTCCGAACACATCGCCGCCACGGCCCACGTGCATGGTGTGGCGAAAATCCGGGAGTGGCGGGCTGATCATGTCCACGGAGAGTTCGCTCTTAAAGCGCCTCTTCCCCTGAGAGCCCGACACCAGGCCTTTAATCCCGGGCAGTTTTCCCAGACTCATGGTAGCAGAAATGAAAAATCCAGTAAGAAATCAGTAAACTTTTCCAATGTAAAATGAGTGTAAAAAGACACTTAAAAAACAATCTGGATCCTTAAAAAAAAGAATAACTCAAATAACTGGTTGGTGTATGTGCTGAGAATGTGTGTAGAATACATTCTCCACACGGCAGCAAGTGCCAGCTATTCATTGAGCGTAAGCCTGCAGTTTTAGGACGTCCCACTGAAGTTTTCAGTTGAATGTTGGTTATCTATGGAGTCAGTCAACATTCAAAGCTTTCTCTTTCAGGGCCAATTCTGTGCTTTAGAATGACTCCAGCCTCAAAGAAATCCTGTCCTCCTTCCCAGCTGCTTTCAGTCATGAGGAATAAAAAGAGGAGGAATGACACATCCCAGTGTTTCTGGTATAACCACAGCCTATGTGGTCTGAGAGCTGGGCTTTTTTCAGACGGTGGGTTTGTGAATGTCAGTTCAGAAAATATATCCAGTTGCAGCTCCAAATATATACTCACAGTGAAAGATAACTCATCCAGTATTTGTGCAGTGAAAGAGTGAGAGAATACCAAGAGATGCTCATATTTTGTCCATCAGACAAAATACATTTAACTTGATTATATCTTTGTGGATTGGAGTAGTGCCTGACTGTTATTTTGAACTTGTGTTTCTGCTTGTGAACACTAACAATATAACTATCATGCTCTCTCTGTTGGCAAGCTCATACCTGGCAACGTTTCTAGAGCTAAATCAATATTAGACGTGCACAACAATTTCTATAATTATGTAATGTAAATGCACATTTCCCTTCAGCAACCAAAATATAACGGTCCTTAAACTTCCCTCTCAAAGTTAATCTATGAGGCTTTATATAAAAACTATTCTTGTTCTTCCCTTTTAAGATCAGTCCAAACTGAAGTCTAGACCTACCTCCTTTAAAATGAGCACCAATGTCTTCTGTCAAGGCTGGACAGCCAGCAGTGTTACCTAGTTACCCCTTTCCATAAAAACCATCCAAGGTCTTGTTTACAAACAGTTAACGAACATCCCACCCGTCTAGACACTAATCACCTTACCAGAGGTTTACGGGATTTTCTGTAAACCTAGTTTAAATTCCCTCTCGACTTGGCACAGTACAGTAGATATGAGTTAGGCTGTGTTATACATCTGAAAGTGGTTATGTTTAAGATGCTTGGACCTGTGTGCTCTATACAATAAACTTGTTGGAGATTATAAATAACTTTGTTAAGGAACTGTAATGGGATTATGTCAGCTTTAAAACACACTTTATATCCACTTCACTCTCACCCAGTGCTTTCTCTTTTCACCACTCAAGGCTCCAACACCAAGAAAACACCAAGACAACAACCCTCATCAACCAGGTCACTGCTGGCTATGGCTTAATGAGGAGTGACTCAATAGGCTGACACCTTTGCTTGTCAGCTAATAATCTTCTCTAATGCACCTACACACATGAACACACTGCACTCAAATACCAAAACACACACTTGATACTTAATCACTTAACTGACAACTCAGATCCTTTCAGTTACCGATGGAGGTTTCTAGGCTGCCGCAAGTCTCCTCAATCAAGTCCTTCTTCCCTTCAGATACAGTAAGTGTTTCCAGAAACTACTTTGTAATCCTGCTATGAAATCAACCTCACCTTATACACCCCTGTAATCAACAACAAAAATATCTCCAACCTGTCACTGACTAGCCACTCCGTCGTTTTAGTATTCCCTCATAGAAGTTTGATCTTGAATGTACCGTCCACAGGGGTGGTCAGCTTTCAGTCCCTCTGAGACCCAGCAGGAAGAGCAAGGGGTCCGTTCACACATGGCATCTTCACTAAAGAGCTTTATCTGCGTGTGGCACCACACAGTCCATGGGACATCCTGTCACTTCCCTCCCCTCTCACAGGGCCTTTTGTGCTCTTTTATCCTTTGTTGTCGAGTTCAGCAAATTTACCACAGGCCCGGGACACCAGGCATTTAGGGGCAATGAAACGCCATACAAAAGGGATACCGCTTTTAAAAAAGGCAACACACTAAAGTGTTGTAATCCGTGCGACTGTTTTGTCTGCGTCTTGGAAGAAAAGGAGCTCCTCTGGGATTGGCGGTGTCCTGGATTAGTTTCTAATCCCTCCCTCCCTCTCCTCTCTCGTTCTCTGCCTCCCTCAATCCAGATAGTGTTTTGAGATACAGGTAGGTGGCTCCTCTCTCTGTCTTCATTCAGACCACGTCAGGGCTGCCTGGAGAAGACTTCACAGAGAGTTACAGAGTTAGAGAAAAGGCAACCATTAATAGGACTCACATAAATGGGGTCACATAAATGTGTCCGGTTGCTAAACATCTAGATTGACTTATTTTGGGAATGCTTCTTTTCACACAGTTTTGGCTCACAAGTCACTTACAACGGCCAACAGGTCATAAAATGTATTTATTTGGTATGTGAGCTATTTTCCACAATAAGAGTGCACCACAACACATTTTAGAGAGCCTTGTATGTCATTGCCAGCCTCCAAATGCAATATATCAATTTCAACAAGACGAGTTCTCACAGAGGTCTTTACAGCATGGTTCCCCAACTGGCGGTCCACGGCCAGGTAATTCTATTTGGCCCCCCATGTTTTCTGAGCAAAAAAACTAAACTAAAAGTATTTAATTTTTTATTGTTGGACATAAAAGACTGTAAAAACACCAGCAAATCAGCTCCAAGTGATTTTGATTTAGGAAATCTGTTCGAAAGTATTCCCACGCACAATAGAGAGATATGTGATCGAATAAAAATGTAATGTGATTATGTTTTAGTCAAACATTATATCTGTTTGGGCTTTTTGCGGTCAATTTGCAGTCTACAAATGATTTGTAATTATGTTCCGGCTCCCTGACCATTCGCTCAAGAATAAATCGGTCCACGGCTGAATCTAGTTGATGATCCCTGCTTTATAGGATCTTAATTGTTTAATTGTCAGGTTTGTCTCAAACCCTCTTAACTAAACTGACACCCTAGGCAGAATGCAGAATGACAGAATGCCATAATTCTGCATTCTAGAGTTACAGTGTACCTCTAATTTTACACCACTAACTGTTTTTAAGGCACTTCAGGACTGTGTATGTACAAGGTAGCCATGTTTGTGTTTTCCTGGTCATAGGCCTACTCTAGTCTGCCATGTTCTTTCTGCATGCTGAGGAAGTGAACACCTAGCTAAGCCTCATGTGGCTTTGGCTGACTGCTCAACAGCGTCTCTGAGGATTAGTGTCACGGCCTGTCAGTGTGACGTGGTGTCTCATTTGGAGTACAGGGGTTAGAGTAGAGGCACCTGTAGCTGCTGCTACTCGGGCTTAGGATAGTGAGGGAAGGAAAGGGGGAAGGAGGACTGAGGATGTTTGTTGTCGGCGCCTGTACTGATCCGTCTTCTCATTAACGATTAGCTGCGATTCAATTAAGAGGCAGATTAGTCGTGTGCGACGCTAGCGTGCGAGTGGCAGGGAGGAGGGACGGTAGCTGCTGGCTGGTTGCCTGTTGTGTCAACACCAATCTGTTGTAAGGGATGGCTGTCCCTGGCTGGTTACCTGTTGTGTCAACACCAATCTGTTATAAGGGATGGCTGTCCCTGGCTAGTTGCCACTGCTATCATTCACTGTGGGTGTCTCTATCTCTTATAGCACCTCTGCAAACTCCCCTAATCTCACACTAAATGGCTCCCTCCTTCCCCTACCCTGAGATCTTACACTGTCCCATCTCTCCCTCTCTTTTTCAGTATTTCCACAACTTTCTGTGAGCTTTTAGATGCCTCTATGCTCATAAACCCTATACTGCAGATCAGGAATCCACTGCAGGCTCTTTATACAGTACATGGACTGATTAATGACGCACGGGGAGACGCATGGCTCTGCTAAACATGATATTTATTATTTAATTGTACCTGCGCACATCCGTAAACAAGACGAGTGTTGCCGCGAGGCTGGCGAGGGCAGCCTGCCTGATTGCATCTAAACTGTGGAGGGGGAGATCTGAAACTGTAATGGGAGCAGTGTGTGAGGGGAAGACAGCCGGACGCACTTCATTATGGCCGTCAAAGAAAGGACCTAAAGCTCTAAATTGAAACAAATTTAATCTCCCTTTCTTTTCAATTTTTTCATTGTTAGTCTCCCTTTACTATTTTTTCTTTCTCGTCACTCTTTCCTTGCCTCTCTCTTTCTTTCTTTATTTTCTTCTTTCCTCTCTGCGTCCTCCTACTCACCCGCAAATTGCAGAACTGAGCTCTGCACTGGGACGGTTCTGCCACGGTGGGTCAGCTCTGAGGCTGTATTTAAGTAATTGTTGGACATAAAAAGGAGGAAATCAGCTCCAAGTGATATTCATTTTGGAAATCTGTTCCCAGGTATTCCCACGCATTATAGAGGGACGTGATCATATACAAACTTAAGCAATGTTTGAAATTATTGTGTTTTAGTCAAACAATGTACATCTGCTCAAGAAAACATTGTCCCACAGCATAATCTAGTTGATGATCCCTGCTTTAGAGCATTGCACCACCAGGCTGTGGGTTAAGACGCGACGTGGCTATAGAAGGTCTGCCAGGTCCCCTAGTGGTGTGGTGACTGTGTGTGTGTGTGTGTGTGTGTGTGTGTGTGTGTGTGTGTGTGTGTGTGTGTGTACATAGTACTCCCTCGCCATAATTCCCTTGATGCAATACATTGCAACATTTCAACACTGCATTTGCCTAATGCTCAAATCAATCTCCAAAGATGTTAATTTCCCAACACTCTGTCTCGGCATTTACCAGTGTCTTCTTGACCATACTTACTGTTTGTTAACACAACAGAGAGGCAATAAGTCAGAACAACAGTGGAGTGTAAATACATCCCTATTCCATTTCAATAACATGTTAGACCACCAGACCAGAGAGTGTAAGGAAGTGTTTGCTCTCTAAACTTCCACATAGCAAACATCAATAGAGGCCATTTACAGAAAAACCATCATAAATGTCTCAATAAGGGA